TGCATGTAGGAAAATAGGGACCCCTTTGGTGGGAAGGGAACAGCGTTCCGTGCGCCTTCGGCGTTTAGTCATGCCGGCCACATGACCACGGAGACGTCTTCGCACAGCGCTGGCTCTTCGGCTTTGAGACGGAGATGAGCACTGCCTCCTGATGAGTCGGGAATGACTAGCACATATGTACGAGGGGAACCTTTACATTTAGCTTATTTCCCAAATCCTCCCCCCCCCATCCTCCTCCTCTTACTGGTAGTTAAAGGAGACAAGATGTTTTCAGAAAGAAGGAAATAAAATCTGAGAGATGGATGGAGACCAAGTGAGAATGTGGGAAAAAGATGCAGAACGTGAATTCCTAGTAGGAAAAGGAATGGAATATCAGAATAACAGAGTTGGAAGGGACCTTGGAGGTCTTCTAGTCCAACCCCCTTCTTCTCAAGCAGGAAACCCTACACCCGTGATGGCGAACCAGTGGCACGCACGCTGGAAGTGACACACAGAGTCATCTCTCTGGGCTCACCAGCCGTCCCCCATTGCTCTTCGGGGTTCCGCCCTGCATATGGGTACCGCCCAGCTGGTCTTTGCGCGGGGGAGCGCAGGAAACCGGAAGGATAGCTCCCTGGCACGGATGTGTATGCTGAGAAGCTGAGCTTTCATTTTTGTGGTGCTCCCCCGCGCGCGTGCGCTCCCGTTTCAATACTTGGTACTGAAAAGGTTCGCCAACCTTACAGCATTTCAGACAAATCTCGTCTTTAAAACTTCCAGTGTTGGAGCATTTACAAGTTTACATTTCACTGGTTAATTGTTCTCACTGTCCGGAAATTTCTCCGTAGTTCTAAGTTGCTTCTATCCTTGATTAGTTTCCATCTATTGTTTCTTGTCTTGCCTTCAGGTGCTTTGCAGAAGAGGTTGACTCCCTCTTCTTTGGGGCCAGCCCCTGAGATATGGGAGTCCCTTAGATATCATATCACCCCTAAGGGACAAACAGGTTTGTCGTTTTTTCCCTCCTAAAGAACCCTTTTATTTCCTGGTGTCCTGGGGGTTAGGAGAACACCCCACCACATACCGTGCGATGATTCAAGAATGTAAAGGATACCCTTGTGCTACTCTCAAAACAATCCTCTCCCGGAAAATCAGGACGCAACATCTCCAGAATGATGGACGAGAAACACGTTAATTGTTTCTTTAATAAAAATCTTCTCCCCTCGAGGGCCCGAACGTTATTTGCAACTAGCCGATAACCTGGCGTTGTTCGGGTATTTATTTACAGGGGGGGAAATGTCTGGATCAAACATAATTTCTTTCTTTTTTTGCATTTTTAAAAATTTTTAAACATAAAAAACAACATAAAAAAATTCTCATCCATTACATACAACAAGTGTTTTTGCATTCATATTCTCAATTACATACACAATCACAGATTTTCCGTCTAATATAACTAGATGCCTCACTTTCATTGTACAACATATGTTCAATTACGATTAATATTTCTTTCTTTTCAATAAACCTAATTCCCTTACATTCTTGATTGTCTGTTTAATAACAATATACCTTTATGTAATCGCTTATCTTATTCTGAATATTTTTACAGTATAAAATAATTTACCAACTATTTATGTTTATATATCACTATTTTCAATTATGTATAATCCCGCCAATCATCCATCGAGTATGCTCATGTTCGTTATTGTTCTTGTACATCATACATTCAAACAAAAATGTTATTCCTTCCTTTTTCCACAAGGTATTCTAAATATTCTCTTCATATATATACATACACCAGTTTTTGATTATTTCCTTATTAAAGTTATTTATCAACAACAGGATATCTTTATAATATACACTTAGGGTTATACATTATATCACCAATCCTCTATCAAATGTACATAGATTCATTATTATCCTTGGTTCCACCACAAAACCGCGGTAGACAAAAGCGCATACGTGACGTCATCACAGCGCGACGAAAACATCGCGCTGTGAGCGGTAAATTTTAAATTAAAGCGAAAACCTTACCCTAACCCCCCCAAACCTAACCCTAACCCTAACCCTAAACCTAACCCTTAACCTAACCCTAAACCTAACCCTAAACCTAACCCTTAACCTAACGCTAAACCTAACCCTAACGCTTAACGTAACCCTAAACCTAACCCTAACCCTTAACCTAACCCTAACCCTAACCCTAACCCTTACCTTTATGTGAATCGGCTTGCTTTAATTTAATTTTAATTTTAATTTATTTTTTTATTTTTTTCGTCGCGCTGCTGATGACGTCAGGTACGCGCTTTCGTCGAGCGCGGTTTTGTCGACCGGGGTTTTGACGGGTCACGATTATCCTTATCCTTCATTTTAAAACAAAAAATTCTAAATTATTCAATTCATATATATGTCAGTCTTTCATTGTATTGTTATTAATCTATTTAACAACATAATTGTATTATCATTTATCTCTTTCAATTAAAACATAAGTAAAACATTTTTCATTTCCAGGGTTTTTTTCCCAGCCACCGATAAAACAAATCCCATATCTTATAAAATTGATCGTCTTCTTGTTCTCTAATTCAAATGTCAACTTGCTCATTTCAGCACACTCCATTATCTTTCAAATAACTTCTTCCTGTTTTGGTATAGTTTCATTTTTCCAGTTTTGTGCAAATACGATTCTAGCTGTTGTTAAAACGTTTACAATAAAATATTTTAAGTCTTTGTTATAAATTTCTAGTATGATTCCCAGTAAAAAAAAATCTCCCAGTCAGGTGAGCCCAATCCTCCTCTTCTTCTAGCATCTTGTAACAATTTGAGTTTTATTCTTGCTGTTTTTCCCCTGCCAAATAAACTTCAAAACTATTTTATTTAGATCTTCAAAAAAGTCCTTGCCCAATCTGATTGGAGATTGTCTGGAACAGGTATAAGATTCTGGGTAAGATGTTCATTTTAATTGTAGAGTTTCTTCCTATCATTGATAGTTGTAGGTTTTCCCATTTCACCAAGTCAGTTAGGATACAGCCTGTTGTGCCTTAGAATGGCTTCTACTGTACTGCCTTAAAATGACTTCTACTGTACAGCATAATGGAGTTGCTGTGGTAACGGCTTCACAGTACTCCACAAGGGGGCTCCCTCTGGTAAGGGGGGAAATCCCACACTAGAAATTACATAGTATAGTATAGTCTTTATTGTCATTGTACAAAATAAATACAACCAAATTGGTTACATTTTATCCGGCTATCCCCCCCCCCCCCATAAAGATATACCCAGGCAATGCCGGGTTATTGGCCAGTTAAAAAGAAAAGAAAAAAGACAAAATAAAATAAAATGACTTTTTATTTATTTGCTTAGGAAGACATCTGGAATTTTCCTGGTCTGCTTTAGGGCATGAGTGACTGGAAAACCTAAACATTTTCATCTTATTAGTTACGCGAGGACTGCCTTTTCCTACTTCGCTTGCACAGAAGAAGTTTGTCCCAGCCAAATTAAAAGGGGGGGCGGTGATGATTAACCCTTCCACTGATGAAAAATATGAGAAGAATGCTCAGAATTCCTCCCCCCAAGGCGATGTGTCCCCTCCTGTACATTTTTTTACGGGGAAGCCTGGAGTTGTTCCGAGGACATCCACTCCCATCGTCCTTGGGAAGACTATATAACCCTCACGGCTGCTGACAGGTCTTCACAGCGATTCCACCATGCAGTCCAGCATCGTCTTTCTCCTCTGGGCGTTCCTGGTCTCTGGACTTAGCATCCCGATGACTTACCAGAAGGAATCTTCAGGTGAGTCTTCTGTTTACGTCTTTCCTTAGTAGAATTCACAAGTCCTCCCGTCTTGTGGGGCATCCTTGGCGTTCTCGGAGCTTGGTTTTTCTTGCAAGAAGGAATCAACCAAGCTCAGAGAGCACTGAGGGCCTCACGGTTGTCTTCTTCTCTCCTCCTCCTCCTCCTCTCTCCCTCTCCTCCTCCTCTCCACAAATCCCACTCCCTTCTAGCAGTGATGATGTTCCCTAGTTAGGTTATGAAACATCTGCAAGAAACAAGCAAGCTGAGAGCATGAAGGACCTCACAGCTCTCCTTCTCCTTCCCCTTCTCCTTCTCCTCTCCACAAACCCTACTCCCTTCTAGTACTGACGATGTTCCCTAATTCGGTCATGAAACATCTGCAAGAATTGCACCAAGCTGAGAAAGCATGAAGGACCCCACAGCTTTCCTTCTCCTCCTTCTCCTCTTCCTTCTCTTTCATCCCCTTCCCCTTCTTCTTCTTTTCATCTTTCTCCTCCTCCTCCTCCTTCTCCTTCCCCTTCTCCTCCTCCTCCTCCTTCCCCTTACCTTTCCCCTTCCTCTTTTCCTTTTCTCCTTCTCTTTCTCCTCCTCTTTCTTATCCCCTTCCCCTTCTCCTTCCCTCCTCCTCACCCTCCTCCTCCTCCTTCCCCTTACCTTTCCCCTTCCCCTTCCCCTTCCTCTTCTCCTTTTCTCCTCCTCCTTCCCCTTCTCTTTCCCCTTTCCCCATTCCCTTTCCCTTCCACTTCCCCTTATCCTCCGTTTCTCCTTCTCCTCCTCTTTCTCCCCCTCCTCCTTTCCCTTCCCTTTCCCCATTCCCTTTCCCTTCCACTTCCCCTTATCCTCCGTTTCTCCTTCTCCTCCTCTTTCTCCCCCTCCTCCTTTCCCTTCCCTTTCCCCATTCCCTTTCCCTTCCGCTTCCACTACCCCTTATCCTTCTCCTTNTTATGGAAGTGAAAACAAAGCCACACTGCTTCGGAAATAATGGAAAACCCCAAAGGAAAGATACTGAAGGGAACTGAATATATTCCTTTCTTGCATAATCTGTAAAGGATCTGTACTTAGCTGCATAACAAGTTCTTATGCAAGGCTTCCAAGAAGCTAGGAGGACCTATCTATGTGAACCTGAAGGGAAGTTATGGCCAAATCCTTCAAGCTGTAAAGGAAAAGATAGTAGAACAGTAGCTGGTAGCAGGTTATCTCAGGACGTAAAGATATTCTCACAGCAAGCTAGCTGCAGTCTGAATTGCTGAGCCTATTACATGTTAATGAGGATGCAACTGGCTAATTCTTTGTGAAATTCAATTCACTCTGTTATCAAGCCATCAATTGCAGGATACAGTTCTTTGAAACTTTCAACATGATAACTGTCAATTCGATAAATATAAACTCTCAATCTACTCGTATCGATTTAAAAAAAACACATACCAACAAAGTTTTTCCAAGAGAATCTATTATCCGTCTGCTTCCAGGATTGAGGCCATGCCATCAAAACAGTGTTATGTTTCATCCCCCCGAGACCAGCAGACTGAATCAAATGAGAGATTCCATCTCTAACACTGGGGGACACTATGATTTGGCAAAATCCTTTGGTTTTCTCTGTTCCCATTAAAGAGCGAATATTCTTTAGGGGGGAAAAACAAATTAGGGTAAAAGGCATTTAGACAATAAAAAAAAATATGAAGAATCTTCATGCACTTTAAGGATTAATAAGTTTCTCACGTAAGCTTTTGCGAATGCAAGTCTAATTATGAATCTATCGTATCCCTGGGAAAAAAAATAGATACTTTAAATGAACAAGTGATCTGGCTAAATCAAAAGCAAAGAAGTCACAGGCTAAATGAAAACATTTAAAGATCTGTAAATTAGGAAATGAATTACTGATGGACCAATTATCACCTTTGTTACCTGGAAATTGGATTTACTTCTTAAACAGGATGCAAATTTAGCAATTTCTGAGTGTAAGAAAATGGAAGAAGACTAGGTGTAATTAACTCTACTGGTGCAATCTCCTTCTGTGTTTCCAGAACTAAATATAAATTAATATAATAGCATAGCTTTTAATATTAGGAAAATTGGCATTGGACTACAGCAGTGATGGTTAANAGGGTCGGAGCAGCCACAGAGAAGGCTCTCCTCCGGGTAGTCGCCAGTCGACACTGGCCAGCGGATGGAATTCGGAGGAGGCCTAATCTGTGGGACCTAATTGGTCTGGTGGAGCTAGCTCCCTCTTCTGTTGCAATATGCTTTTCAATAACATTAAATACAATTTAATATCTGTTGAGGTATTATCTTTAATAATTGCTACTGTGTTCTACTTTTCCATTGTTTTAATAGTATAAACTTATGTTGCTTGATTAATCTTTAGCCGGGACTCTATTGTGGAGCCAAAAGGCATACAAAAATCTCAGTTTTTGAATTCTTCTAATTTAAACCATTCAAAGAAATAGCTAAAACACAAATAATTTTTTTGACTTAACTCATTTTAAATTTTATATTTTGCCAAAATATTTTCAAAACTTGCATTTTTGTATTTTTTTTTTAGCATTTTCTTTGATGCCTATTTTAACCCCTATTGCTTTTAATTACTTTCGGAGTAATCATTTTGCTATGCTGCTTTTGATTTCATTTCATATGCATATTGTCTGTGTTTTTATTCTATGATAGTTTGAGTTATACTAAATTCAAGAAAAAAATGCAGAAATAAATAATTGCTATGTATATACTGGGTAAGAGGCAGTATTACATATAGAAGAAAGAAGTATCTTGTTAAAAATTAGCTTGAACATTTTGGAGATACTATACATTCAAGGATACATTTTAGATGCTTAATTCAACAATCTGATTCCAGCCCCAAATCTTCAAAATTAATTGAATTAAAGCTTGCACTTTTAATGCTTAATTCGTTTAAATAAAGTAGTAATTTAAATGTTTAAATAAAAATGTTAAAACCACATTTTTCTCTGAAGCATTGAATCTCATTTTATTTTTAATGTATGGGCAAAAGTTCAAATTCTCTGTACAATTTATAACTGCATAGAGCCACAGTTGACTGAATAATCTATTATATACAAGATTTCTGCTTAAACTGTGATTCCTAAGCCATGCTTTTTATTTGTCCTATTCTGAACTATCTGCTGAAAAGCATCTGCTTACTTATGATAGTTTTTTTTCCAATAACTTATCTCTTGTCATAATATTGGTTAGATTTATTGCTGTCACCAGCTGCCAAAAAGGTTCACCATCACTGGAATAACCTGTATATGATGGCCAGGCTTTTTCCTCAATTTCCTCAATGCTCAGTTTTTACATTAGAAACAATTTCATAGAAAAGTCCATTTTAAATATAGAATCAGATGGCTTGAGATAATTTCTGAAGGTGTTTAATATACTGAAGTCAGAACTGATTTTTTTTTAAAAAAAATATTACATTAAGCCTTCTCTGTGGGAGCGCCTTTCCTCTGGAATGAGCTGTCCCCGGAGCTTCGTATAATCCCTGACCTCCGGTCCTTCCGATGAGCCCTAAAAAGTTGGCTTTTCCAGCAAGCCAGCCNCCACCTATACTGTACCTGTGCATTTTGTTTTTCTTGCCTAAATGAGGGAGGTTTTAACCCGTTTCAAAGATGATCCCCAGGCTGATCTTCACTTAACTCGTGTTTTACCTGGAAATCGGCCTCACTTAGTTTTAACTGTACCTTTTCCTTAGCAAAATGGGCTCTGCACTGCAGTCTGAAGTGTTTTAATGGAATCCAAACAGCCTCTGAGATAAGATTAAATTCCACAGATTTCCCCACCCCCACACTTCTCTGTTTTCAAATCATTCACTGTTTAAAAGGGGGACAGGACCTGGTCCATGGGTGTTTAGGAGTTCCCCCGAAGATCATACATGACACATCTCAGCGTTCGATCCTTGGGTCAGTGCCAAGACTCCCATCATCACCAGCTTATCTGGCCCTTGAAAATTTACTGGAAGTAGGACACCCTGTTATCAACCAGGGCTTCCTCCCCATCTATCCTTCCACCCAAAGGGAAGAACGCTTCCAGGCTCAAGGACATTAAAAAAAAAAACAACCACTTATTTGCTGAGTTGGCACTGAACGCCTCCGTCTTTGACTCAGTGCCAGACTTTGGCAGAGATGTTGGTGAACACCCTGTTCCCTGTGACTTCTTTCTCTTTTCTCACCTATCCATTGGGATTTGCATGTCCAGAATGACATGGAACGAAGGGAATCTGCACCAGAAAAAAAAAAAAAGGAGGAATTCCAGGTGCGTCAGGATCTTGAAAGGGGAAATAAAAAAGAGCTAAGCTGCGTGGGATAAATCGGTGTGGCACGGCGTGCTTGTTTCTCAAATTGGTTGATTTGTAGGATCTGGGCTTGGGGGCATTGTGGTAAGCTGGTGACTTGGAAACGCACACCTTTCATTCTTTGACTTCCAGCACGAAGGTAAACAATAACAGCGTTATCTTTCAGAGCTGGTGTGGCAGCCGGCACAGGGAAAGCAATCTTGAGTACTGTAAAAATGTCACAGTAAATTATAATGTTGTGATGGTTACACGCCTCGCTCTCTTGACATGCTTGTGCAAAATGGGGATGAAGGGGTTTTGCATCCCCCAAAAAGGAGAAGTTCGTTTCATGAATAGAATAGAATAACAGAGTTGGGACCTTGGAGGTCTTCTANTCTCCTTGTTTTAAAATTATTCTAAGTGTCTTATTGATTCCATAATTATGTATGCAAAATAACATATTTTGAATACATGTAATTATGTACAGGTTACATGTAATTAAGTTACTTAGTCTTAGCCAGGGTTCAGTAATAACTCCTGAAAGTTCCTCAAGTCTATTCTTTTCTCAAGTGAAGTTCATTCTTCCATGTACACAGTCTATCCTAGTTTATTTTGAAAAGCAAAGCATAATTTCAAAATATCATCTAATTTTAGGGAAAGAGCTCTGTACTGCTATATTGCTTTTAAAATAATCAAACAGTGGGATTAAAAATTTATATCAGCAATCATTTACAAACTGCTGAACCATTCTCTTTTCCTGAAAGTATTCCAAACAGACTTGAGTGTCACTATCTTGTTAAATATTTATTCCACAATTAAGTCAAAGCTGACTTCATACAAGCATTTTGCTTCAAATAATCTCAAGTTTATTCTAATTCTGTACTGCAGACGATTCAAAACCTATTCTTGTGAAAAAGCCCTATTCAAAACTTTCTAAATATAGATTAAAAACAATACATTTTATGCTCTCTTTTGTACATTAAATATTTTGTGCAAGAAATGGGATAGCCTGAGCTATCATGCATTGAATTCTGAATAAATTCTAACTGAAAAAAATGTAAAGAAGATGTATTAGTAGACTATTTTTCTTTTTGACGAATTCATAAGTGAAAAACCTCTGAAGCACAAAGAATCATCCACTACATATGCTAGATAGGCCAGGATAAAATCATAATCTCTTGTTTTTGTGCATATCATGTTCCCTATTCCAATGACCTGGACTGCACTGATAACTTCTAGCTATAATGTCTATCTTCCTCTATCAACAGCAAGATGGATGGATTCGATTACAAGTTCAATACTGGATGTTCTGAAGTCTGAGGTTGGAAACAGAACACCCTGCCAAAAATTATCTATGTGGTTGTTAAGAATTAACAACTGTAGAAAAATTAAAAACCAATCTCTCCTTTTAGTATATAGAGAGTGGCCAATCTGAACTTGATGCCATTCACCGAACAGCAAAATATTGTTTATTGGATTTTTTGGGGAGGTGGTGGTGGTACTATTAGAACTCCTACTACCTAGTTAAGAGACAATGTTTCCCCATATAGCGATAAGATTAATAAATCAATACATTTTATTATTATTAAAATCAAAAGCTTAAGAGTGATAAGGAATTCTTGCCAGAGCATGTGAAAGAAGTATCCCTGTTACAAATATCCTTCTCCAAGTGGTGCCATCTACTTTACAAAAGGTTTAATGTTCAGTTTTCCACTAAAAGTGAATATCCAATGAAGAAAATATAATTGGTCAATTCGTAAATTTGATATACATATATTTTTCTTTTATAACGTAAGTTATGGTTACTTATCGATGTTATTGTTGTGACTGTGAGATGGGTAACTATAGAATCAATTATTAAGTAAGTAAAACAACAAATAAACTTCTACCTTTTACTTCAGCACCAAATGTATTAGTATTATATTACAGTTCTTGACTGGCTTTTAATCACCTTCAGATGTTGATTATATAGTTAGGATTATTATGCACGGTATTATTATGGACAATCTCGAATATAAATGTATTTTATAAATACAAATGTTGTAAAAGGGGGGAGACTCTTTCATTGGAAGAAAAATAAAGATGATAAAAGTTCAAAGAATAAGAAGAAATTGTTTCTTATAAATAAATACCTTATCTGCACTGACTCTCAATCTTTCATGTAGCAATCACTAGAGAAACATCTGGTATCAAATAAGCTGTTTTTACAAGTTACAAAACAGCCTCAATTCTTTGAATATTGTAAAGCTTTTTGCTAGGCAATTAACATCAAAAGCAGGAATTTCCACTAGCAGTTTTGTGATACTAGAAAGCACACATGAATATGAAACCTTACAATCCTTATTTTCTTGGTGTTCATATATATATCTATACATACCTCTTCAGCTCTTTCAGCTTCTGCATATTTATCAAGGTATGTTCCTGGGAGTACAGATCCCACAATAGTCAATCCTTTTCCAGCTTTCAACTGACAGGTAAAAGAAAGCAGCCGAGGATGTTTTACTAACTGTTCTGAATCCAAATTCAGTAGTACCAAGACTTGAGGCCTGAAGTATATAATATAAAAATAAATTGTAGTGGATGCCTCTTCAAGATCATAAGTTTTCCAACACAAGGACACAGCATTTCACAATGCTATAGGCTTTACTTTCAATATATTTGCCCTATAATTTACAGGTGGCTCTCCCTGTTACATTTACTCCCAGATGGGATTTGATGTGTTAAAATACTAAATGCATTCTTACCTCCAATTTTTGGTATGAGGGTGACCGTGGTCGACTCGAAGTAGTGCATAACGAGCAGCATTTAAGGACAAACCTCGGATTCCATCTCCCCATTCTTTTTCAGCTCTTAAAAGAAGAATTAACAGAGATTTGCAAACATTACAGGTTTGTGATAGTTCTATTTTGTTTTGATATGGTAGACAGGTGGTCTCCAACCTTGGCAACTTTAAGACCTGTGGACTTCAACTTCCAGAACTCTTGAGAGTTGAAGTCCACAAGTCTTAAAGTTGCCAAGGTTGGAGACCACTGCGGTAGACAATATAGAGGCAATTCAGGGGCACAAATCTATACATTATGCTTTATTTTAGACAACGTTCCTTGACTGCTATCAATGGCAAATTGAATTCACATATAACAAATGTGAATTCACATGAATGGAAGTCCATGAATGCAAGATTGGTAAACGGCTTGAAACTGTAGCAACTTTTTAACAGATGTGTAATTAGAATTTACTGACTTATGGAAATGCATATAATATAATGCATTTAATATCTGCAGTCTGTTTCACCATCTTTAAATCTCTTCGAAAGGAAATACTATTCATTTAGTGGATTACAGAGTAACCAGAATGGATGATCAGGTCCTTTGAAGTATAAATAACACATCACAACTAATATTTGTCATCCATATCTATATTTTACATATAAAATTCAACATTAATATTTCATTGAAATAAGTGGTCATAGCATAAATCACAGTGGCACATTCATTTCGCAAGTCTTGGTTGGATTCATCTTTGCTTTTGAATGTACTGAACCTTGAATAAATCCATTCCATCATTTCCCCACCAAAGTGGAAATATTTGAATAAGTAGCTTTTTTCCCAATCATGAAACAACTAGAAGAGCCGAGGTGGCGCAGTGGTTAGAGTGCAGTACTGCAGGCCACTTCAGCTGATTGCTATCTGCAGTTCGGCGGTTCAAATCTCACCGGCTCAAGGTTGACTCAGCCTTCCATCCTTCCGAGGTGGGTGAAATGAGGACCCTGACTGTGGGGGCAATATGCTGACTCTGTAAACCGCTTAGAGAGGGCTGAAAGCCCTATGAAGCGGTATATAAGTCTAACTGCTATTGCTAACTGCTAACTAATTCTCATATTTTTTATTTATTTATTTATTTGTTTTTATTTATGAGCCCATGTAATAAGTAATTAGCGGACGCATGGTAAAATTTATCTACAGATCAGGACAACATTCTGATCTTCACCAGATATGCTGGATTACAAAAGCTCAGGGAACATAGGCAAGGAATACATGATTTACATTTTAAAGCATCCAGTGAGCATTAACTTGCTTATTCCTACTATATGTAAAACATTTTTAATATATATTCCGAGTAATATGTTCAGCATTTCTTCAAATAAAAGTACAAAATAGCTGAAAAATGCCCATGGAATAAAAGATATTAAATAATTAGGTGTCTTTTTAAAAGAACATTGCAACAAAATTGAATTACATATACTGTAAGTAACACTTTTAATTAAATATTTTGCATTCATGTCATAAAAATTACTTTCCACCAAGTGTATGAATGTTTTTTAATCAAACAATAAATAAATATGTATGCTTACCCTCTATATTCTATGTATTTATAAATACATCCTGCAATGAGCATGGCAATCAAGGCATAGTACCAAGAGCAAATGAACATCAAAGCAAGACACAAACTCATTCCTAAGAATGAAAGAGTCCTGAAAGGAAACATGTTCTTAGTTGGTCATACTTATGTATATGTTCTACTTAATCCAACACAACGACAGTGTTTCTAAACTAACATCGTTCAATATACATACTGAGCAGAATAATGCAAATACAATAATTAATCATCTTGCCATGCCTGGCTTTTATCAAGGAACTCAAGGCAATGTAAAATAAGCCTAGGGTTTCAATGTTATAAAATGAACTGGTGTCCACAAATTATAATGCTAAATTTACAACATAAAGCTGTCTCTCTAAAACAGAAAAAGGTAAAGATTTAAAATTATTCCAAAGATGTACCCATAAACCAAATTTTCTTTTGGAAATATATGCATGTTCCATCAGATACTGATTGTTTCTAATCTACAGTGATTTTTTTCATAGTACAAACAAAACTACAGCATTCGCTGGTTTGTTATATGTTTTGATTGTTACCTCCCCCAAGTCTTTCATGGTTTAGGAATTGGGCACCTCTCTATAGTATCTGCCCACTTAGATAGGTGGCTTACTCATTTGCTTCACTATCATTTTTTGGAATTATGCAAGTGGGCCTTTTCAAATGCTGTTCCTGTTTTAAGGAACAGAATTCCAAATGTCTCAGTGGAGGCCTCCCTTCTGCTCCAAAAAATCCATTAAATCCTGGCTAATTCACCAGGCCTTGGGTGCATAATAGTATGCATTCCCTCTAGGAAAAGAAGGTGTGTTTTGCTTGATTACTATTGAATGAATAAAGATTTCCGGTGCTATATATTTCTATATATTATTGTTGTTGTTGTCATGAATTAGGGGTGATTTAATCTGTACCATTTGTTTTAATATAATTTACAAGGGTTGCAATTATACCATATCCGTCAAAGTTGGTTTCATTCACTGTGGTTTTATAAGACCAGTTACATAAATTCATACATAAATGTTCTGTACTAAATTTCCAGTGCAACCCACTACTAGATTATCTATTTTCTAGAACATGCATTAGAAGTCTATAAATAAAAAAATTATAAATATCATTTTTAAGGAACGTTTATAAGTGAAATTGTATGTGTAAGTCTGTTTAAGTTCAAATTCATTCACATAAATTCCAATTCCTATATTATGTTCAGTTCTTGCTATGTGTAAGTCTGTTTAAGTTCAAATTTATTCACATACTTCCAATTCCTATATTATGTTCAGTTACAAATAATACTCTGTTCTTGCTATCTATTTCCCTGCTCTCATATGGAAATAATGAGATTTATTATTACTCTCTTTCTCTATTTCTTATACAAAATTATATTCTCTTATAGAATGCTGAAATAAATGAGCAAATAAAAATATTTTATAGCTAAAAATGTAAGTTATCTTAAAAAAGAATAAATTTATGAACCAAATGCTTCTAGAATTAAATTAGTAAAGAACATGGTGTACCAGTGGTAATATTTGAAACGAGGTCTCCAGTTTGGTGTTCGGAGAAGAGTTTGAAGTGCACAGGCCAAGTTCACAAACAGATAGCACATAAGGAAAAACCTAGGGGGAGAAAACATGTTTATAATTTAAATGAATGGCACTATTCACTCAAGACATGAGAACAGAGATAGAAGAGGACAAGGTTACAGATAGAAATTGCAATCTTAAAAGATTTCTGATGTTATAAAAAAACCAGGTCCAGACAATTTTTGTAATTTAGTGATGAGGCATGTGATTTGTTGCCTTTCTGCCGTTTCAAAAAAAGCAAAGGTTCCTTTCAGACTAACGCACTAAAGCACTAAACACTAAAACTGAATTTTGAGGTATTAAAAAAGAGACAAGACTTTCCAGTGTGTGAGTCCATATTACACTTCACAACATTAAATAAAAGGGCAATTGTTCCATAATATACTATAATGCCTATCCCAATTTTGTGTTTTGTGAGTTTGATGCTCACTAGTGAAAGAAAGTAAAAGGCTGGTAATGGAGAAACAAATAACATATTTATCCACCAGATTTTTAACATCTTTGTCAGTAAGAGAGACAGGAAACTTCTTCCTGAATCTAATTCTGTGGGGAAAGTCTAAACCAGGGGTAGTCAACCTTTTTATACCTACTGCCCACTTTTGTATCTCTGTTGCAGAGGTGGATCCCTACCAGTTCGCACCTATTCGGTAGAACCGGTTCGTCAAATCTACCGAATCGGTTAGAAGAGCTTCCACCAGTGGACCCGGAAAGCAGGCCACACCTACAGAAGAGGTTCCAAACTTTTTTGAAACCCACCACTGGTCCTTGGATATGATTATTCTACACTATCATGCTCATATTTATAAAACTCAGTGCCTCTGTGAAAGGTAAGGATGACTACTGCGTTTGTGGTGCAATCAGAACATTGCGTGTGTTGAAGTTGTTTTAACGCAAACCAAAGATCCCTTTTAAAAAACAAGTTGACATCATATTCTTATGCATTCCAGTGCTGTGTGTGAGGTAATTTAAGGTGGTTCTGACAAGTGTCGCCGGCATCTTCATATCCGGTCATATGGGTGGCAAGCCACTCCCATCTGGTCACATGGGCAAGCCACTCCCACAAAGGAGGCCACACCCACAGATTAGGTTCGAACAATTTTTGAAACCCACCATTGCTCTGTTAGTAGTAAAATTTTCTAACCGCCCACCAGTTTCACAGTAATGGTGATTTATAAAGTAGGGAAGTAACTTTACTTTATAAAGCACAGTTACAGCAAACCCCTACCGCCCACCATGAAAGCTGGTACGCCCACTAGTAGGCGGTAGGGACCAGGTTGACTACCACTGGTCTAAACAGACACACAACCTTGTCATGTCACCTTTAAAGGAGAAATTTTCTCCTTCTCCATCGCCACTGTAAACAGGAAATCTACAGTACATTTCTTGGTGTGGTCTCCCTATTGTGGGGTTACAAATGTGCTGCAACTTCAGGCCATGCAGAAAGACTGAAAATGTACACAATGAGTGCTTGGTAGTGTAGTACTACCATCCAGATTCAAAGGGCAAAAAAAAAAAAATGACCAGGAGATTTGTGAGCACAGACCTAGCATTAAACATGTGTCTTTCTTTCATATAAGCACTTATCCCAACAACTTTGGCTCTGTGCCATGTTATTGGCTGCAGATGGGGAATGTTTGATTGAATGACATATTGTAAGCGGAGCAAGTGTTCGGTCAGTAGTCCCAGGCAGAGAACAAGGTGCAGTTTCTCTTACTTTCTCAGAGCAGGACTCTCAAATCCTCACCAGTGTATATATTGTTACAAATGCAGGTAAGAAATTGTGTTAAATTTGCAGGAGAAATTCTCAATCCATCTTTCAGGTTCTCTTTCCCCCAATCTGCCTACCCAATTGTTACTGTCTGACATTGTCTTTAATATAAAATTATTATGTATCTTTTGATGAAACTAAAACATCACACTACCTCTCTTGCATCTGTTATTTCAGTAGCCTTCTTTTTATGGAAGAATGACTCCTTGAAATATTTTATTTTGGCTAGTATTCTTCAGTCTTAGCTTTTGGGTTTTATTAAAAGTAATTCTCTTCCTTCCTTTTAAAGTTGTTCTATTAATTTTGTCTTTTGGATATTGTCTCTGGAACCCCTTATGGCTTGATACCCAACTTTGCCGGAGTGCTTCCCAAAAATAAGACTACCATTTTTAAATGATTTTAAGTTAAGTTGCAAGACAAATATGTTAAAAATCTACAAAGACATACGTACATGGAGAGTATTGGAGCCACACTATCCAGAGAAGCAATAAGAATTCCAATCTCACAGATAAATGCAGTAAGGAGCAAAGCCCATGTGGGTTCTCCATTGGCTTTTCCATGACCAAACACCTTAAAAAAAACATAATTGTGTTGACTGAAAAGGTACAATATACTCAGTTCAAATTAATTATCAACCGCAGTAGATTATCTGCTATAATTTTTGAAAGTCACAAATCTGAAGCAGCTTAGTTCAAAACAAGTTCCATATTTTTCACTCCGTAAGACGCGCTCTCCCCCCCCCCGTACCCGCCAAAAGTAGGTGGAAATGTTTCAGCATCTTATGGAGCAAATATTGCGTCCTTTGGTGAACAGCGGCCAGGCCATAGCGCAGCGGGGTCCTGTGTTGAACTCCCCCTCTTCTGTCTTTGTCATTGCCTGCTTCTTCTGTCTCTATTCCGCAGTGCAGGAGTCAATTTGCAGAACTGGCACGTGAGAGGACACCTATCTGCGGACCTCTTAGGCTCCGTCTGGTTTTGTTCCCCCTTCTCTAAACCTAGGTGTGTCTTATGGTCAGGTGCATTTTATAGTGCGAAAAATACAGTGTATATTTCAAGCTTAGATTGGCAAACCATCTTTGGAATACAGATAGATTTAAAATGGCAATTGGGACTCAAAACTTCCATTGCTAAATGATGGCTATTCATGTAACCCCAGTTGGCATGATCCACTCCCTGCCAGCTTCCCAAAACCAAGCCAGCAAAAAAGCAAGCAGGAAATTGCAAATCCACGCAGTCAGCAATAGCAGTTAGACTTATATACCGCTTCATAGGGCTTTCAGCCCTCTCTAAGCGGTTTACAGAGTCAGCATATCGGCCCCCACAGTCTGGGTCCTCATTTTACCCACCTCGGAAGGATGGAAGGCTGAGTCAACCTTGAGCCAGTGAGATTAGAACCGCTGAACTGCAGATAACAGTCAGCTGAAGCAAGCAGATATGTGGCTGCTGTCAAAGGGATGCGCAAAGGGGCAAGTGAGGCTCAGGACAAAGTGCATGTGCAAGGGAGGGACGCTAAGCATGGGGGGAGATGTTCAAAAGTGGGGTATGGAGAGGTATGCAGGAGTGTGTGAAGGAGGTGTGGCAAGGCTCAAGGGTTGAAAGGGAGGTGTATATAGTGAACTCAGGTAAGAGGCACAAATGGCTAGCAAAAGCGAGCACTAAAACATGCAGGTAATAAAGAAAATGTGGCAGAGAGGAGACAGATCTTTGGATGGTAAGTGAGTCTGGCATGGCAGGATGGGAGGGGGATGCTATTGTGGGGAGCGGGGAGCAGGGGTAGGCAGGGTGAATGTTGTATGTGAATGCATCTGCTGTCATTTCGCAAGGATGAACAATTGCTGTGGTGTTGCAACATTCGTAATTTTGGGACTATGTCGTAAATACTTGGGTGTTATCCTGCAACTTTGAATAGTCATTAAGCAAACTGTCATAACTCGAGGATTACCTGTATTATTATCACAGAATATTTTGAAGATATAAAGTAATTTGATTGACTTGCTTACTATGTTATATGAAAGTCAATGAGGTTGTAAACTATTATCTTATCATGAGGACTTAAACCAGTTTTGGGTTCTCCAGTAGTCCAGGTATTTTTTAAACTTCGTGATATTATATATCTCCAAGGCTAAAGTAATTTGTATCAATTCCCCAGTAAATAACCAAATAGAAGTGCTGTGGTTGGTGGATGAGGTTGACTGACTGTCAGATTTAGAGGCTTGTCAATCTTCAGAGAATCCATTTCCTGCTTCCTCCATGGACTTGCCTGGGCAAAACTGCAGGAATTTGGGGCTGTGCTTCCCACTCAAAGCCTTGTCAACATAGTTCTATGCTTTCCAAACAACTGCAACTTCTCTCCGGGGGTCTCACATTCCCACACTTGGATAATTTTTGCAGAGAGTTGGGTTCAGAGAATATAAAGGAGACACATGTATGGCTAACCCTAACAGATTAGAGCTCCAAGATTTGGGCTGCAAAATTCTGGACATTTATTAGATTGCCCAAAGAGCTACTAAAAACTCATTTTCAGTGAAGTTGTCCAGATTTTTGTGGCTAATAAATCTAATAAACATAGAATAAATGTCAAACTAGATTTATAGGTGCTTACAATAACCTCTGTTCTACTGAACATAGTCAATAAACTGCAGGGACAGCTCAGTCCTGTAGATCAATCTTGTAATTGCAATTTTACAACAGGAAGTCAGAAATTCCCTTTCACTAAATTTGATCCCTGTTATCATGAGCCTGAAAATTTCCCTTTGGTGTCTTATCCCTTAAGCATAAAAACAGATAATATGATTCATTTTAATGACACATACTTGATTTGCCTTGATCTTTCCTCTCCCCCTCCCACCCCCCTTAATTTTATCATTACTTCTTCGCTTGTCTTGAATTACTCCTGTGTGGCTGTGGCTGGCATAGACTGTGACCTAATCAATGTACATACATTCTGATGGTGATGTGATGAAAAGAATACCCTAATACGGACATGACAGCAGCAACTGTTACTGCAGTTATAGTTAGCAAGCAGCAGCAAAAGACTTATTGTACTATCCCCTGCTTTATTTAGCCCAGCTGAATTGCTCTGTAAGCCAGAGCAGGGGAAATGAGGTCAAATCGGCCTGTAAGGATTGCTGCTCTGAACAGACAACCATCAGTTAATTCTTTAGCGTGATCTATGTAAGTAATATATATATATATGATTTTTTACAACCCCTGGTAAGCCCCAATTATGGGAGGAAGCTAACTGCTTCCATCATCTGTCAATCGGCTCGTCACAAG